TTTTTGCTATGTTGATTCTACCTTTCCAAGAGCATGGGAGATCTTTCCATTTTGTGATGTCTTCTTTAATTTCTTTCTTTAAAGACCCAAAGTTCATGTGATACAGGTCTTTTACGTGTTTGGTTAGAGTTACCCCAAGGTATTTTATGTTGTTTGTGGCAATTGTAAAGGGTAATGTTTCTCTGATTTCTTTCTCAGCCCTTTTATCATCTGTATATAGTAGGGCTAATAATTTTCTTGAGTTGATCTTGTATCCTGCCACTTTGCTAAAGGTATTTGTCAGCTTCAGGAGTTCCCTGGTAGAGTTTTTTGGGTCACTTATGTAAACTATCTTATCATCTTCAAATAGTGAAAGTTTGACCTCTTCCTTTCCAATTTGTATTCCCTTGATATCCTTTTGTTTTCTTATTGCTCCAACTAGAACTTCAAGTACAATATTGAAGAGGTATGGAGAAAGTGGACAGCCTTGTCTTGTTCCTGATTTTAAAGTAATTGCTTTGAGTTTCTCTCCATTTAGTTTGACTTTGGCTGTTGGTTTGCTGTATATAGCTTTTATTATGTTTAGGTATGGACAACTTTCTGAATAGATATCACCTGACAAAATTAAATCAAGAACAGATAAGCAATTTAAATAGACCTATAGCCAGTAAGGAAATGGAAACAGTCATCAAAAGTCTCTGAACCCCAAAAAGCCCAAGGCCAGATGGCCTCACTGCAGAATTCTACCAGAAATTCAAAGAACAGCTTATACCAATTCTCCTCAAAGTATTCCATGTAATAGAAGCAAAAGGGTCTTTGCCAAACTCTTTTTACAAGGCTTCAATAATCTTGATACCCAAGCCACACAAAGACACAACTAAGAAAGAGAACTTCAGACCAATATCCCTCATGAACATTGATGCAAAAATACTCAATAAAATACTGGCAAATCCACACAAAGATACAACCAAGAAAGAGAACTTCAGACCAATATCCCTCATGAACATTGATGCAAAAATACTCAATAAAATACTGGCAAATCGGATCCAAGAACACATCAAAACAATCATTCACCACGATCAAGTAGGTTTCATCCCAGGGATGCAGGGATGGTTCAACATACGAAAATCCATCAACGTAATCCACCATATAAACAAGCTGAAAAACAAAAATCACATGATCATCTCACTAGATGCTGAGAAAGCCTTTGACAAAATCCAACACCCCTTCATGATAAAGGTCTTGGAGAGATCTGGGATAACAGGGACATACTTAAACATAATAAAAGCCATATACAGTAAACCAACAGCCAACATCAAACTAAATGGACAGAAACTCAACGCAATTCCTCTAAAATCAGGAACAAGACAAGGCTGTCCACTCTCTCCATACCTTTTCAACATGGTACTTGAAGTTCTAGCTATAGCCATACGACAACAAAGGGGGATCAAGGGGATACAAATTGGGAAGGAAGAAGTCAAACTTTCACTGTTTGCAGACGATATGATAGTTTACATCAATGACCCAAAGAACTCTACCAGGGAACTCTTACAGCTGATTAACACCTTCAGCAAAGTGGCAGGTTACAAGATCAACTCAAGAAAGTCAGTAGCCCTACTATATACAGATGATAAAAGGGCTGAAAGAGAAATCAGAGAAACATCACCCTTTACAATTGCCACAAACAACATAAAATACCTTGGGGTAACGCTAACCAAACAAGTGAAAGACCTGTATCGTAAGAACTTTGAATCTTTAAAGAAAGAAATTAAAGAAGCCCTCAGAAAATGGAAAGATCTCCCATGCTCTTGGATAGGTAGGATCAATGTAGTAAAAATGGCACTCCTGCCAAAAGCAATCTACAGATTCAATGCTATCCCCATTAAAATCCCAGCACAATTCTTCACAGACCTTGAAAGAACAATAATCAATTTTGTATGGAAAAACAAAAGACCCAGAATAGCCAAAACAACCCTGTTCAACAAGGCAACGTCCGGAGGCATCACTATCCCTGACCTCAAGCTCTATTATAGAGCTATAGTCCTGAAAACAGCTTGGTATTGGCACAAAAATAGACAGGCAGACCAATGGAATCGAATTGAAAATCCGGGTATTAACCCACACACGTACGAACATCTGATCTTTGACAAAGAAGCTAAAAATATACAATGGAATAAAGAAAGCATCTTCAACAAATGGTGCTGGCATAATTGGAGACTGGCATGTAGAAAAATGCGGATCGATCCATGTTTATCGCCATGCACAAAACTTAAGTCCAAATGGATCAAAGACCTCAACATAAATCCAGCCACACTGAACCTCTTAGAAGAGAAAGTGGGTGGTACCCTTGAAAGAATTGGTACAGGAGACAGCTTCCTGAACATAACACCAGTAGCACCGACAGTGAGATCAACAATTAATAAATGGGACCTACTGAAACTGAGAAGCTTCTGTATGGCAAAGGACACAGTCAGCAAGACAAAAAGGCAGCCCACAGAATGGGAAAAAATATTCACTAATCCCACATCTGACAGAGGGTTGATCTCAAAATTTACAAAGAACTCAAGAAGCAAGTCTCCAAAACAGCAAAGGACCCAATTAAGAAGTGGGCTGCAGAACTAAATAGAGAGTTTTCAATAGAGGAGTCTAAAATGGCTGAGAGGCACTTGAGAAAGTGCTCAACATCCTTAGCCATCCGGGAAATGCAAATCAAAGCAACTCTGAGATACCATCTCACTCCTGTCAGAATGGCTAAAATCAAAAACACCAATGACAATTTATGCTGGAGAGGATGTGGTGAAAGGGGGACACTCCTCCATTGCTGGTGGGAGTGCCAACTGGTTCAGCCACTTTGGAAAGCAGTATGGAGATTCCTCAGAAAAATGGGAATAAACCTACCACAAGACCCAGCAACTGCACTCTTAGGCATATATCCAAAAGATGCCCATTCATATAACAAAGATGTCTGTTCCACTATGTTCATAGCAGCTTTATTTGTAATAGCCAGAACTTGGAAGCAACCTAGATGTCCCTCACCCGAAGAATGGATAGAGAAAATGTGGTACATCTACACAATGGAGTACTATTCAGCAGAAAAAAATAATGGAATCCTGAAATTTGCAGGCAAATGGATGACACTAGAAGAAACCATCCTGAGTGAGGTAACCCAGTCACAAAAAGAGAAACATGGCATGTACTCTCTCATATATGGATTTTAGACATAGATCTGGGGAGTGCCAGCCTACAATCCTATTGCCAGAGAGTCTGGGAAACAGAAACTTCATTTACTGGCTGGTTAAGTACTGAGCTGAACTCAAGAAAGCCAGTATCAGAGAGGGAGGACTGATGATCAAAGGGATTAAGACTGGGCTGGTTGAACCCCCAGAAACAGCTGACCAGACAAAGGTTAACTCTTGAATCCCAGGCATCAGCCTGGGAATCCAGCATGGGACTGATCAAGACCCCCTGAATCTAGGTGTCAGTGAGGAGGCCTAGGTAATCTATTGAGCCTTGGACAGCAGATCAGTACCCATCCCAAGTATACACACGGTCTCTGGACTCCCATAGAACAATGTGAGGTGCACTCTCACCCTGAACTCTTGGGGAAGGGTCTAGGCCCTGCCCTATATGAAATGACAGACTATGGACACCCCCATGGAGGGCCTCACCCTCCCTGGGGGAATGAGGGGATAACCGGGGGGGGGATGGGGGGGAGGGCACGGGAGGAGGGGAGGGAAAGGGAGAGGGACCTCGTACTGACTTGTGAAGCAACCTTGTTTCTTATCTAAATTTAAAATGGAAAATAAAAAAAATATTATTAAAAAAAATACTGGCAAATCGAATCCAAGTACACATCAGAAAAATCATCCACCATGATCAAGTAGGTTTCATCCCAGGCATGCAGGGATGGTTAAGCATCCAAAAATCCATCAATGTAATCCACCATATAAACAAGTTGAGAAACAAAAATCACATGATCATCTCACTAGATGCTGAAAAAGCCTTTGACAAAATCTAACACCCCTTCATGATAAAGGTCTTGGAGAGATCAGGGATAACAGGAACATACCTTGAGATAACTTTTTTAATGTGGGCAGGCATGCTGTATGTGAACTTTCCTTTTAGGATTGCCATCTTTGTGTTCTATTTACTTTGGTCTATTATATTTTTACTTTCATTCAATTCTAGGAATGGCTTTCACTTCCTTCTTGATTTTTTCAATGGCATAATTATTCAACAATATGTGGTTTAATCTCCATGAGTAGATATACTTCTTGTAATTTTCATTTCTGTTGATATCTAGCTTTATCCCGTTTTGGTCAGATAGAACACAGGATTTTATTTTAACTTTCTTATATTTGTTGAAATTTATTTTGTTTCTTAATATGCTACATATATTTTAGAAAGTTTGGGCTGCTTAGAAAAAGAATGTTTATTGTTTAGTGTTTGAATGAAATGTTTTGTAGACATTAGGTGTGTCTGACATCTCACCAGCACTGAGGAGCAAGAAATATTGCAGAAGAATTAGAATGTAAAAGCTGGGCTGGAGAGATGGCTCAGCTGTTAAAGGCTAGGCTCACAACCAAAAATAGAATGTAAGAGATAAAGGATGGGGAGAAATTCTGTGAATTGTCATGTTCTGGACATGATATGACCATCATAAAGAACTCACAGCATCTGTGGTTACCTGCACAAGATATATACAAGATCAAGCCAACTAAAATTCTGGCACAGACAGAGTAGATGAACACTAGGTCCCAACCCTTTTTAAGGAGCTACTAGAAGCAGATAATTGCTGTGGGAAGAAGGATATGGCCACTAGTCCAGTGGATGACTCCACATGTATACATACATGGGCTATCAAAAAAAGACATGAAATTGGGAGGGGAAATCATAGATTGGCACAAGAGTTGGAGGGAGAAGTGGGAGTAGATAATATATTTCATTGTATACATGTGTGAAATTCTCAAAAATAAAGAAAAAGATTAAGTAAAAACTGTATGTTTTCTTTTGGGATACAGCGAAGTGCTAGGATGCTTACAGTATATATCCTCCTGTTCACTATCTTGGAGATGTTTGTGGCAGCCATGGCAACTGAGTGGACCTGTAAAGCAAGACAAACAGATGAAGAAAACAGTAAGTCTATCGTTTCTCCTTCAGTGAACGGAAGCTACTAAATTCTGTGATGTATCCTGTTCAAATAACTTAGAAAGAATTAAGCATCAGTAGTGTCATCTGTAAACTGTGGGTAGAGGTAGGTGAAAACATTTTTGCGATACTATTCTGCACTAAACAGCGCTTTCTATAATTGAAGCTACATAAATTACCTTATATGAAGTAAGTGTGGCTGAGGATATAGCTCAACGTTAGAGAATTTCTGCAGCATTAGCGAAACTCTCTATTTGATAACTAGAAGAAACACATAAAAAGAAGTGGGGGTGGGTAGCTCGGGTTAGAGGGCAGTGATAGAAACACTGGTGCTGGGTTTTATCTTCAGCACTGTTTGATTGGCCATAGTTCCCACCATCCACCTGCACAAACTTGTGCCCCAGTTTCATCGCTTGATTCTTACTCCATGAATGCACTTGTTCAGTGTACCATCTTAATTTGTCGATGGAATTCCTTAAGGAATCTCTGTCTGAAAGTAATGTGATAAACTTAAAAGGGGAGAAGACATTATCAGATACATTTCTTCTTAGATTTTTCACTTTATCTTGCCTCAGAAGCTACCCCTGAGGGTACTTCTATCTCAATCACTATTTGCCTTTCAATAAATTTTCCTCAGCTAATGTAGTGAAATATGTGGTTGAAATTCATCTAAAACATAGCACTCATAGCCTTTAAAAACGTGTGCCTGGGGCTGAAGTAAGGACTCAGTGGTTAAGAGCACTTAATGCTCTTGTAAAGGATTCAGGTTTGATTCCCAGAACCCACAATCATCCATATCCAGTTCCAGGGAATCCAACAACTCTCCTCTGGCTGCTGCAGAAGCATGTATAGGGCACAGGTGGCTTTACTTAAAAGTGAAAAATACAATTCTTTGAACAAAGGGACAAGAGAAAGAACATAAACTGAAATGGTTTTCTATTCATACTAATAACATTTCAATGGAGAGGAGCAGAATATATAGGAAAGGAAAAGGGAGGAAGGGAAGCAAATAGCAGGAGGAAAAGGAGAAGAAAATGATTTAAAAAATAATAAGGATTTTAAAAACCAGCATGGTTTGGTTGAGGAGTATATCTCATGTGCATCCCTTGCTAGCGTGTACAAGGCTATGAGTTCCAGGCCAACACAAAAGAGGAAAAAAAGCTCATGACCTTGTTTATTTAAGACTCTCAGTAATATGATTATTTCCCCTTCGCTTTCCTTAAAAGTGCTACTGAAATTGTATAGTTCTTAGATCTCATTAATGAGCAATTTCCTACCATCCACGTTACCTCAGGTTCCTAGAAGAAAACAAACCTTTTCCTACATGCTAAAAGAAGTATCATGGCCTGAGTCAAGGAGAAAAGTGCAATGATGAGTGGAGGACTTCATTTAATTCAAGGGACCGCTCAGAAATGGAATTTTATTGTCTGTCTCAGTATTTCCTCTCCTCCATTTCATTAATTAAAAAATGATAGCAATGAATATCTTTGTCTTTCTGTGTGGGAAATTCAGCATGAATTTATTTCATTGACATAAATTAATCCGGGGTTGAATCTGGTAAGCCTGAGTTAAAGGGTACTGTTAATCCCAAGAAATCTCATGAAAGAGCATGGATTTTCTAGCATGGATTCTATAGCTAATGAGATGAAGTAATGCTGACTCAAAGCAATTCCATAATGAAAAGATGGATAAGCCGTCTCATCATGTGAAGCAGACTAGCTCTAAACATCTGCCTAACTAGCTATTGTTAAATGATGCATAATTTATCTATAGTGTGGAATTTATAGTACTATTATATATATATATATATATCTTTATGTAACTGAGACCACATAAATGAATGTCCACCAGAACTCTTTAACTAGAAACTCCATTTTCTGCAATATTTTATTCTTTCTCCAACAGCTTTTCTCTTTGACTCATTGTACTTAAACTTTATGCATTTTAGATAAAGTCTTTCCAGCAATATTCCTCTGTGTCTTTGAATACCTTTTGCACTGGTCATCTTTCTATTTTCTGTGACAAAACACCTGAGGAAAATGACTTCTAAAAAAAGAAAAGCTTGTTTGGGCTCCCACTTTCCAATACTGCATCCACATTTAGCTGACTCTATCTCTTTTGGGGCTGTGGTAAAACAGCACCACAATGAAGAGAGTATGGCAGAGCAAAGCTGGTTACTTCATAGAAACCGAGGAGAGAGGAGATGGAGGGAGAGGGGGAGATTGGAATACTTCGACAATAAAGGACTATTAGACAAAATAAAGTTCATAAGCCATGGAAGGAAAAGAACAAAATTACGTAGAAATGCAGACACTGCCAACTCTTGGTGAACAAGGAAGTAATGGGTGGAATATGAATATACATCCTGGAGAGAGATGATGGAAGAATGTGAAGGCTTTGATTTGCCTTTCAACCAAATAGAAAGTCATCTAACTCCTGGCTATTCCCAGTGGTTACAGTCAGCTTCTGCCTGCTCTTTCCAGCTTGTTCATACTCCGGACTCCAGCTGTTAAGCCAGAGTTTTCATTTGGCAGGGATTTGTGTCTTTTGCAGATACTATGCTACACTGACAGCTGTCAGCTGTCCACTCTTGGTCCTCAGTCTTTAGCTGCCTGTCAGAGAGCCCTGCAACGTATAGGGAGCTCACACTGGGCCCTTTCCACCCCTACTACTACTTTCTTCTTGTTGTTGTTTCCCTTTATTTTATTATTAGTTATTTGAGAGTTTTTATACAATGTGTTTTAATATTCACCCTCTTTTCCACTTCTTCCCCAACTTACCCCTTTCCTATCCACTCCGTTTTGTGTTGTATTTATTTTTAATCCTTTAGGACCAGTTTATGCTGCCCAAATATGCATTCTTGGATGTGTGGTTTTCCACTGGAGAGTTGTCAACCTACTAAGGGCTACACTCTTAGAGAAAACTTTCTTTCTCTCTGCCAGCAGCTAACAGTTGCCAGTAGTTCCATGACTAGGAGTAGGATTGTAAATCTCCCCGCCATGCTAAAATTTGGTCTGTTTTGGGCTTGCACAAGTTTTGTACATGCCATGACAAAAGCTGTGAGTCCATGTGTGTGGCTGCCCTGCCACACCCAAAAGATAATATGTCTGTCCCCTCATTCTCAGTGATCCCTTCTCTTACCTGTTAGAACATATGTCAAATATCACTGGAAATGATATACTGCCTGGTCCGGAGGATACTTAATGAAGGATGAGGTGATAAAACAAAGTTTCAAATTATAATTTTCAGGTTAGGTGGGGGGTTAAATGAGATTCATCATACATGTTTCTGTGTGTTCACAGACTCTCAGTAAATCCAAAATGCTAACATGGCTTCAAACTTGCCTCATCATCTCCCTGCTTCCCTATCCTCACTCCACACACAGGCCTCTTCCTGGAATACCTTGGGAGACTGACCTCTTGTGAGAGAGACCTGATATCTGCCTTCTGCTTGCCCCAGGTTTCCTCAGGGTTCTCTGTTGAATTCTTTATGCCTTTGATCACACACCCTTCTTTCAGTGAGGCTCTTCTGTACACTTCCCACTACCACACACCCCTCTCTCTACTGAGGTCTCTTTATTTTCTGCTTGGTGTTCACTAATTCTGATATAACATTTTCTTGTGAGTCTTGTTTATTGTTGATTTCCCTATAATAAAGTCCCCAAAAGATGTATACCACTTGTTTTCTTCACTGTTGTTTGAGGCCAGTACCTGGCACATACAAGTCCTCAATGAAAATGCATTGAATTGTTAGGTTATAAGAGGGAGTCTACTGTTGTTATTTTGCTAAATGCTCATGTTGTCAAACTGCATTCTAATTATTTGTATTTATGCCCATAAATCTGTACTGCTTTCAACCTTGGTTGGAGAAGCTTCTTTTTGCAGTAAGTAAAAATTAAGGCAGAGACCCATAGCTAAAGTGCTGAGAATAAGGGACTGTGGGTGTTCATCTATATATGGGTCATCCATATCAACCTCCCCATCCAAAACTCAGCAAACCTAGCAGAATAGAGGACAGAAAGACTGTAAGAGCCAGAAGGTAGAGGTAAAAACTTCAACACACTATCTTACAGACATGATGTGGCTATTACAAAAACTCACGTGGCTGTTACACAAGCTCACAACATCTATAGTTACCCACACAAGGCCTGTATAAGAGGAAGCCAGTAAAAGTTCCAGCATGGATTTGGAGGCCTTCCTAGGGCCTTGCCCCTAGGTGAGGAATTATTGACAGTTGGTGGTGACTGGGGGTCAGGACAGTCATTTTTCTTTGGGAATGTGACACTGGTAGGTTGCTCTTTCCATAGTAAATAGTCCTATACTTATGAGCTTAGAAAGCACTTATTAGACTCAGTGTTATACAGGGGAGGGATAATGAAGTTTGGAGGAAGATATGTTGGAGACCCTCAAATGAGTTGGAGAGGGGAGGGAGAATTGATAAAATCAAGATACACTGTATATGTGTATGAAATTTTCAAATAATAAATTTAAAATACTATTAAAATGTATCAATTTCCCATGTACCAAAAACCATTATTACCAACTGCTATCCATAAGTCTATTAGAAATAAGAGTCACTTGTTCCTATCATATATGGCTGAGCACCAAATAGGAAGCTCCCTGTGAGGGACATAGGTAATGTGGGAATGTAAAATAATTTTGATCTTCAAACTGCTGTAGCACAAATTTGTGAAGTAACCATTCTGTGGAAGAAGAGACTAAGTGACAGAAAAGTTAAATGGAGAATACTCCTCACAAGGTTGTGTTTACCACATCCAGATTTTTGGTGTCTGGGAGTTTTCTGAAGTAATTTTTATTTAAAATAAATATAATTACATGATTTCCCTACTCCTCCTATGTCCTCACCCCCCACATCAGAACTCTCCTGTATAAATGAATAAATTTACAAATACAGTCTGCTGAATTCCTTCAGTGTTGCCTACATGTATGTTTCTAGGTCTACCCACCTAGTATTGGGTAGCCAGTCAGGGGCTCATGCCCCGGGAAGGTGAATGTCCTAATTGCTTGCAGATCTTATGTCCCTGTGCTCTTTTTTTTTTTTTTTTTTGCTTTTCGTACACTATATTTTGATCACATCCTTCCCCCTCCCTGAAGTCCTCCCAGATCTTCCCCACCTCCCTACCCACCCAACCTCATATTGTTTTTCACTCTCAAAAGAAGAAAAAGAAATCAAAGACTAAAACCACCAAGCCATAACAACACACACACACACACACACACACACACACACACACACAGGAAAACATGGAATCCATTTTGTGTTAATCAACTCAAGCATGCACAAATTCAAACCAGACCAAAATCCCAGAGGGGAAGTGGGCACAAAGTCCCACCCCTAACAAAGAAGCTATTTACAATTGATACCTGCTGCAAGGGGAAATTAATTTTCTCCAATGTAGTGATAGGTGTGTGCTTCTTCAACGAGAGGGTTCTCAGACCAGCACTGGGTCGCCACCACTCAGTGGTAGGGGCTAACACAGAACCCCAACGAGGCTGTGCTGTGCCTGGGAATAAGGACAGAATAAGATGCTGACACTGCCAGGAGAGCTGTGCTTTTGGCAGCTTCTCCCTTTATCCTCAGATGAACTGTGCGATCAGTGGGGCTGCTGCATGTCACTGCCACTGTCCCGGTACCCACGTGGGCTTCTCGCGCAGTGCCCTTGGTAACCACGCTCTTAACCACAACCGCAGCTTTAGACCCTCGCGAGTGGGGAATGAAGGGGTACCATCCAGGTAGCAGCGCCCACCGGGCTCCGCTCCGCTGGCTGCGAGGCTACAATCCCCCCAACAGAGGGCACTGCCCATCAGACCACGCCCCTGGCCCTGGGCTCAGGGCATGATGTGAGAGTGGGAGCCTTGGCCCATCTGCCATTAAGTCTGAGACGGGTCACACTGAAGGCGAGGATTTCCCTGAACTCTCATCTGAGTTATCCCATGCTAAGAATGTGTTTTTGGTAACAGTAGTTGAGTTGAGACATCCAAGCTCATCTATGTATTTGGGCGAGATTCAGACGTCTAGGTGGCTTGTCCAGCTTCACCTGGGAGAATCTTCTACGTAAGTGAACGCCAGTGGGAAGGTTGCCCGTATTGTATGCACACCATCACAAACCAAAACATCCAGGTTATGTGATCCACCAGATTTGAGTTCTAGGTCGAAACTATTGTTTATAATCACACCTAACATATTCAACAACCATAGAGTGTCCTTATGAACCTAGGAGGCTACATCGCCAGGGTCCCACCCCACTCCACCCCACCGTCAGATACATATATTCATACAGCCTGGATTTTAAACATTACCATTCCATACATACCATCCAAATTGGATGAAAGTTACTGAGTTTCCAACACCATAGTGGCTCCATCTACTCCAGCCTCCCTCTATGAACAAGACATACCTTAATTCCTCTCTTTGTTAATGTTAAGCCAATGAATGGCTGGAGCCCATGTGCTAAGAGCTGTCACCTCAGATACCCTGAACCAAAAGCTAGTCCTAATGGGTTGTTATGAACATCAGGAACCCAAAGAAACTTAGACACCATGCACTATAGAGCTCCAGGGATGTGTCACATGCAATGTGCTTAAATTCTGCAGTCAAACACATAAAAAATATGACATCGTGGTGAACCCAAAACTGATCAGAAATGGCTAGAAAATGATTTAGGAATTATGTAAGTTTTTGTTTCTATGTAACCTTCTTAGAAGTACTTTTA